CACATAAATTATCTAAGAAGTTAAATTTTTTAGCTCAAATGTTTTCAAACCTGAGTTTGTTTTTGCTACTGAACGACTGAAACAGCCTCACTGACGCCTGACCGCGCTAACGCCGTCTGTCAACATCACAATCAGGCCCTATCCTGGCAGCACTCAACTCCTTTCCGTTTGTATGAATATTATGCAAAATACTTTTTATATAAATGGGATTAATAGATGATGTATTTTAAAAGCCATTTATTAAATTGCTGGAGAAACTGAGAAAAAAAAGGTTTTGCTGCTGACATAAAAAAATGGAAAATAAAAGCCTCTGCCTGTGGATGGTGGGAGGTCAGACCGCCTCCATCGCACACCAATCTAGAAACAGATCCGGGATGGAGGCAAACGGAGTGAAAGACGCTGAGAGTCAGAGGAAGATATTAAATCGATGCCAGCAGAACTACTCTAGATATTAACCTGATTTTTTCCCTGTTTTCATCTAGGTGTTCCTCTAATTAACCTATCAGAAGCTTACAAAGATATGACATCACAATCTAACTTCAGAAACTTCTCAGCCTCATTATTGAGGAGTTTAATGAATTAAAGTGATTTTATAAATCCTGCATGACTGAAAACAGACCTTTAATAAGGAGTCGGTTTGTATTGACTTCTGTTCCTCCAGCAGGAAAAGGTTTGTGTTAATATTTTTTGTTTGTGATGCTTCCTGGATGATGAGGAGGAAAGTCCCGTTAACAGGAGGAGAGCAAACTGGAGTCCAAGTCCAGCCTAACCGGCATTAATGTGGATCAACCAGACTTTAGAGGAAGGAGAAACAGCTGCTCAGAGGTTCACTGGGACTCATAAGTAGTAAACGTTCAGCAGCAACCCGAACATCACAGAGATGGGGGACCTGGAGGCAACAAGTCAGCTCTAGATCATGTGTTTGTTCTGCTCAGTCACTGAACCAGGTGAGTCCAAACTGTGCAGGTAAATCCACTCTGCAGACTGGAGTCACCTGATTCAGTGACTCGGCAGAATAAACACCTGATCTAGAGCTGACTTGTTGCCTCCAGGTCCCCCATCTCTGGATCATCAGCTGTCCTTCCTCCTCTGGAATCAGGGGCGGATTTAGGGAATTTGGGGCCCTAGGCAAAGACAGGCAGGGGGCCCTCTGAACCGAGAAGAAAAAACATCAAACAGCCCCATTCTCCAGATAGAGAAATGTTAATAGAATAGACATCCATTATCTGTTCTAGGTTGTGTCCCTCTCTTCTTGTCCCTTTTCTTCTT